ATTCCAGCTCAAGATATAAACAAAGTCATTCTGATCAGCTCAAATGAAATTTAGGAGATGTAAAAAGGCCATGGTTGACATCTTGAATTGAGCAGAATTAAAAGTATCTTGAACAAGTCAGAATTGAAATGTAGATATCTCAAACTGGAGTTACAAAAACTCACAGTTCAGCTGCAGATATCCACTATTCACATCATCTCTAACCCAACGTATGTAAATATTCATAATCTGTATGTATATATCCATCCTCTCGTGCAATATTTCTTAAATCTTTTATTTCTTTTTATATATTTATCCCTTTTTATCTTTATATGAAACTGAGCAATTTTGCACTTTGTTTTTTGTTTGTTTGCTTTTTACTTGCACTGAAAATCGGAGAAGCTCTCCAATCTAGTTGTACACTGTATAATGACAATAAAGGGCATTCATTCATTCATTCATTTATTCATTCAATCATTCATTCATTCAATCACATGAATGGTCAAAAGCCCTGGAGAATGATATTGTATTAATCTGAAGTTGCCTTTTTGAAGAGGAGGGATACAATACATTCCGTCTAATTTTAAAATTTTAAAACTATTGCCATACTTGCACACTTCTAAGGTCACATGGTATTGAAAATAAACAGAGCACTCAGGAGTTTGATTGGATGTATTTTTCTTCCTTGAATTGAGCTGCAGAGGTGCCTTAAATGGAGAGGACCACTCTTGGAACTTCACTGGCCACCCCAATGTTTTATCCCTTTAAAACAGCACACCAAAGTATATGATGTCTTAACTGTCATACTGGCACAATTTTCTACTATTGTCTATATGACAACAGCATGACAGAAATGTAGTTAGCGCATTTGGTTTTTGTGCCACCTTAGGATTTTCAGTAAACCCATGCGGACACCACTATGAAAAAATTCTGGAGGCGCCCCTGCTGATCCAAAGGACAGACTTTTTCTTCTTTTTCTTACCTCACAGAAGTGTCTTTTAGAATTTTATCATCTGGTTTAAAATAATTAGCAGAACACCACAAAGCTCAGTGTGGAACAGAGGACACCGAGCCACAACCCTGACCAGTGCAGACTAAACCAGTTCCAGATCTAAGTGCAGGCTGCGGACAGGACTGTTGTGAAGTGTGAGGACTGGATTGAGGTAAGCCAAACATCTCGCTCAGTCTGGCATCCAACTGGAAACCAGCTCTCCGCTTGCGGCTTTCTAGAAATATTTCATAGAGGTCGCTGAAAATCTTGGAGTCGGTCACACAAACCAAAATCCATGACTCAATGTCAAGAGTTCTGTTATGTTGTTGAACTATAGAGGCTAGTTGGAAACTATGTTTATATGAGAGTTCAGAAATTACTCACTGACATAGTTTGGTTTCCTGCTTTACAGTTATTGGTACTCATCATCTAATGTGCACAGACTGATATGTGTACACTAAGTATTTGGGTGAATACCAATCATGTAGCCCTGGAGGAGACACACTGTGGTGTATTTGAGGTGGGAAAAGTTCACCCATAGGCAAGACAACCAGTTTTTACGTTTTCAACGCAGAACATTCTGTCCAAGTGTTATGATTATCTCAGTACAACAACTTATGGTACAGTAAAATGTGTTTTTTAGCAACCTTGTGGAAAAGTTTGTGGAAAAACTGCCAGGACCTTGGTATGTTTTTCTATTGCAATAGGGACAGAAACACTAAATCTGTATAGAATCTCTCTGATAAAAAGAAGTCAGAGCAACAGCTTCCCGATAGCATAACAGTGAACGCTCACAAGGATATCCAGGTCCTGTGTTTGACCCTAGTTATGCAACAGCTCCGGTCACATTACTGAAAGCAGTGGCCAGCTCTGACACTAGAACACTGGGCGTTTTCTTGGTCTGAGATACTGTCTCTAATGCGGTTTTCTCTTGGACACTGTAGTAACATCCTCTGAAACTTGGAGTTCCTTTCACTTATCAAATTGTGGGTGGCCACAGGGGTGCACAGTGATATTTGACACTCTTTGAGGCACCACAGCCTTCAGTACAAGATTATGTGCACATCATCAGCATTGAAGGCCAAGAAATCCACTGCGTACATACAATGAGAATAGAAATACCTTTCCAGATGGGGAGGGCAGTAAAAGGACAGTGCATGCATGAGATACGTAGGTACAAGCTACAGCGCATGTTTAGAACAGAGCTCTTCCAGCGGACTCCAAGCGGACTAGAAAGCAGTCGAATAACAACAGCTACGCATCCGTAGTGTCCACAGCTGTTGTGTTGGTGTGTGCATTTACAGGGGAGTGTAATCAAGGCTTTAGAGGGAACAGTCAATACATAGTGGTTCTGAGTGATCAACTTTATGCTATGATGGAACATTTCCACCTCAATGAGAGTGGTTTCTTTGAGAATGACAGAGCTTCCATCCTTAGGGCACAAAGGGCCATCAAGTGGTTTGAATAACATGATGTGAATCATTTGCTATGACCTTCTACAGTCACCAGTTGAACAACTATGAGAGATTTTGGACCAGTTTGTTAGACAACAGGAATATCTCTTGGAAGAACAGTGTTCCATCCTTCCGGGAGAGTTTCTGAAACTTTTAGAATCAATGCCCAACACCTTTCTAAGACACTTAAGGATGAGACGCCACCATTGTCACTGAGGTGGAAACTACTGGTTAAGCTGGATTCTTATCTAAATTTTGCACGTTAAGGACGTGTGACTAATGTACCGACCCAAATACTGAGTCCATCCTTCCATCCATTATCTATACACCGCTTAATCCTCATGAGGGTCGCGTGGGGGCTGGAGCCTATCCCAGCCGACTTAGGGCGAAGGCAGGGGACACCCTGGACAGGTCACCAGTCTATCACAGGACTACACTTAGAGACAGACAACCAAGCACACTCACATTCACACCTACGGACAATTTAGAATCACCAATTAACCTCAACATGTTTTTGGACTGTGTGGGA